AGTAGTCGAGTTCATGCGTCAGTGGCCTCAGCAACGGCCCCCAACTCTATGATCTGATTCGCCGACGCCCTGGTCTGATCTCCGAGATGTGTGATTCGCTGAACCATAACAGGGAGGGCCCTGTCTTCCGGTCCTCCGTGGTTGAGGTTATAGAAACCTCGCTCCATTCCGTATGGAGAACGTTGGTTTTGTTGCCTGCTCCACCTCTCCAGGTCATCCGCCCAACGGGGCGTGGGTCACTGGTAGCCCAAACGATGTGCGGGAACCCGGGCGACATAAGGAGGATTTATGACTTTGGACTCTGCGTCCGAGTCCTCCTCTACCTCTTCCTCGTCTTCTTCTTCATCCTCCTCCTATGGATCCTCTTCGGGTTCTTCTTCCATTATTTCCTCAGGATCCTCTTCGATCCACCCACCATTTCCCTGATTTAGGAAATAGGGGTCTCCGGGCATGTGAAATCCTGCCATGACGTCTGTGCAAGAATAGAGATATGAGAAATACATGAAAGGCTTAAGTGTATGATCCTGTAGTATTCTAAAATACTCATATAGTATTTTAATATTTATGTTTGATTCTAGAGTTTCTTGGTATATAGGGTTGGTAAGTTTTAGATTCGTTGCCCACCACGACCATTCCTAAACACATGTTAGTCATATCTCATATAAATATAGTTGATCAGGCTATATTTATCCCAAATATGATTATATAACTGTCTAGGCTTAATCGTAGTGTTTAACTCATCTAAATACTTTTTATATGGTTCTTATTATGACACTGTTTCTAGTATGTATGCATGTACGTATACTTTTTATAAAAATACTATTATATTTTAAAAGTATACTTCTTAGTCAGAGTGTTTTAGCCCCATTGTATTTATAGTTGTATATCTTACATGGTTTGAGATACTTAGTTCACTATAAACAATGCTCTGATACCAATCTGTCACACTCCCAAACCAGAACGGCGGAAACGAGGGTGGATGACTTTCATGTACAGTATCATAACAATTGAATAGTAGCAATCAAAGCATTAAAACCATTGTAATGAATATTTAATAAGTTTATATTGTACTCAAAAACATTGTCTACTTGATATTAAATACATATGACAAAAATAAATAATGTGATGCGACGACGCCCCATCCACCAAAAACTCTTGTCATTACCTGTTTACTGGTTTACTGAGAATACAAGTGATTTTAAAAAGTGTCAACAATTAAGTTGGTGAGTTCATAAGCGCTTTGTATGAGAAAGATTTGTAACTGTTTCGTGTAAAATGATAGTGTATATTCAGAAAATCCAATATTTTCTTAAAATGAGTTGTAAGTCTTAATCCCAAGACTAAAAATGTAAGTAGCATTGTACTGAAAATGGTGTTATGAAGTTTTAACTTTACATAAAACTACTTGATTGTATGTTAACCCGGTAAACCAAATGTTTTGTTAATACCCCATGTGAGTTATCATAACCATACTAATGACTAGTTGGCATGCTACGACGTTCTTCAGACGTCAGAATTGTTACGACATTTGTCACCCCAGACCTGTCGGTCTAACTGTAGCTAACAGTTTAGGTGCGGGGTTGTCAATCCCATATAGATCTATACACAAGTGGCACGCTCTCCCTACAGGAGACTCTGGTTATAATGCAGGACTTAATGTGTACTCTGGTAGGTACAGTGAAGCCAAATGTCTCACAAATTTGTATCAACCGGTTTACGTGAACTGAAAACCCATTTTTCTTGTAAATGAATGCATTACTCTTCCATAGTGGTTACATAGTGTAAAATAATTATATCTTTAAATAATTATATGTTTCCTTCCGAAATGATAATGTAGTGTTTGTTACTCCCAAACTATACCAATTATAGTTTATTATGTTCGTTTGTTAATACTATTTATATAAACATTAATATAAATACATAGTAGTTATCTTGTCTAGTTCAAAATGGATGGTCAAAATATCATATTTTGGGTTGTATCCCACAAAATGGTGAAATAACTAGAAAGTACCCCCTTTTTGTTAGAAAAACTATATTTTGGTAAAAAGCTTCAAAAACCTTGTAGTTTTACAAATCATAATTCTTCTTATGATTATCTAGCATAGTTTATGTTTTGTTTTTGTTAGTTTTGCATTTCAAAACTATTATATCACAAATAATTGTCCAAAAGCTAGTGATAATCATACTTCATGCAAATAAGGTTTTATATTTAACATAATGATGAAACATGCAAGTATTTGTGTGATAAACCAAGTTTTACTTGTAATCCCCCCCCTAAAACATGAAAAACTCGAACATGTGGGGGTATGAACTCACCTTGAGTGTGGTTATGGGTTGTTTGAAGAGATGATGTGAAGATCTCCAAGGCTAAGACACTTGATTGTGGTTGATGAACTCTTTGAAGATGATATTATCCTAAGAGTTTTAACACATAATAATGTGTGTAAATAAGATGAAACTAGTGTAAAAGTGTGTAAAAAACACTAAATAATCAAGAACTACTTACCAAAATTCTAGGAATAAACTTTGGAGAATCAACCCTTGGAAGTTTGGACTTGATCCTTGAGAGAATTTGGAGTCAACAGAAAGGAGAAATGGAAATGGTGGGGGTTTGGGGATGATTTCAGCCCAAGATAAGGAGGGAAGATGATGGGATATTTGCTTTGTTATATGTTGGGTAAATGCTTTGATACATGATGGGTAAAACTTGGTGTTGGAAAGGGTGAAACATCAAGTCACGAAGTCAACCCTTCCTTATCTTCTTTCCCACCGAAATCCATCCTAAAACCACCGAAATCGCATGTGATTTCGGCCTAGGTATGAATTTGGCCAAATGAGGATTTCGGTCTAGCATGATTTCGGTTTGGTACCACCCACTAAAGGGTGATTTCGGTTTGGTATCACCCACTATAGGGTGATTTCGGTTTTGGCATGGGATTTCGGTCCTTAGCACGTGATTTCGATTCTTCACAACAGAAATCTCAATGTTTTTGGGTCTTAAAACCGAAAACTCTAAAGCAAGGCATAAGTTCATGCTTTATGTCATAACCATTTGACTTTTGTTTGACTTGCTTGACTTACTTGACCCTCGTTGGTTCGTTTGACTTCAGTTGGATCCAAAATTGGCAGTTGTCACAATTTTGTGTTGCGTTTTGTATTGATTACATCATCATAAGGGCCAAATCTCAATCCGCTAATCAAAAAAATTTTGATTTCACCATAATCCACGACCCTGCCCTGTAACTCAAACCGAAACCTCCCAACCATGGCTATCACCACATTACGAACCTCATGCAACATCATCAAATGACACAACATCGGGTCACCATTCGGGGTGGTCATACCAATGAATGTCCTAAACGGAGTCTCTCTAAATAATTCAAGTTGCCTAGTATTTAGTCTTGGAATGAACTTCCTCAAGACAGTCCCCAACACTCCTCTAAAAGTTAATTGTGCATGTCATCCACACATACTATGCTGCAAAAGATAACACATATATGACAACAGTTAGAAAAATCAAGACTTAAATGCCCTTCTTCCAAATTATTTCATCAACACTACAAATTCTTTTAAACGATATAGCAATGTACTATGCAAGAGGGACAATTTGTGTAACACAATTTAAGACATAAATTTCATCATTTATCAAAGTACATTGTTATTTTAAATAGTTATAAATTTTAAACTAAGCTAATTTATATAACATAAATTTATCAAAACACATTGTTATTTTTAATAGTTATAAATTTTAACCTAGACTAAGCTATATAACATAAATTTAAACCTGCAACCAACAAGAATGCTAGAAATTACAAATATAAACCTAACCTAACCTATATAAGATAAATTCCTTTAAACAATATAGCAATGTACTATGCAAGAGGGACAATTTCTGTAACATAATTTAAAACATAAATTTCATCGATTAGCAAAGTACATTATTATTTTTAAATAGTTATAAATTTTAACCTAAACTAAGGTAATTAAATAAATTTATTAAAGTACATTGTTATTTTAAATAGTTATAAAAATCGTAATCACATTTACCCAATCCCAATCACATTTACAACACTGTTTATTAACACAATCCCAATCACATTTTACAACAAATTCAAAATCGTAAAAGAAAAAAAAACAAAATTTTAAAAAATAATAATAATTCCGCAGAGGTCTCTGCGGATCCGCACTGCGGGTCTGTTCTTCAGGACCACACCTTTGAGGAATTGTTCTTCGGGTAACAATGGTAGAATCAAAATTTTCAAACTTTTTCTGATCTATTAAACTATCATACACCCTACAGAACATAATTCTCAACATAATATTGATTCAATAACACATTTTTAAAATCAAAAATCGACGTTACTAATGCTAATTAGGGTTTCATAGAATTTCAAAAACGAGGATAACACTTACATGAGTTCCATACCCATCGGATAAGACATCATCGTGTAATTCTTGCTCTTTCCGGGATCGCCTCACCATTTCTCTTTTGTTCGATCCTTGGTCCGGCGATGCAACAATCTCGTCTTCCCAATTTCGTCTTCGTCTTCGGCAGCAACCTCCCCTAAACGAAACCTGGTTCACGGTTTCGTAGCGAAGGAAGTAAGGAACATGTTATTTTTTTAGTGAATTTACAATATTAACCCTACCACTTAATTCCTCAGTGATATTCCTATTTCCGCAGAGGGTAAATGGGTTCCGCAGAGCCCCTTCTACAGATCCCGTGATCATTCTACAAAACTTTGATTTACATGATTAAAATGTTAAAACAACACCCTTAAATGGTTATTTGACGAAAAAAAAAACTCTTATAAAATACATACTCACCTCATTTTTCAGATTTGATTGAATAAAATGAGATACACAAACCTACGAAAAGTCCAAAAATAACAGCAAGTCAGACTGGGAGTCAGAGTGTCCGCGTGGGAATTTAGGTGTGTGGCGGCGACTTTTCCACATAATATGAAGAAAAAGCAGCTGATTGCTCTCCACCATCCAAAAATTATAATACGACTTCTTTTTTCTTTTAACTAAATATCCATTACAAAATTAAAAAAGACAGCTCTCATGCCTCTCGGATTATGTATGTCGCCTTCATCAACGCACACACATCTGCACACACTTGTATTCGATTATCCATTGAATTTTGAATTCTTACAAGCTTCGTCAATCGTCATATCGAGGAGCTACTGATTGAAGCAAAAGAGACTGATTAATTAAAACAAAAAGAAAATCCGTTGTGAGGTAGGCTCCACCGTGTATGTTCCTTCAAATTCACTTTTACTTTTTGTTCAATCTCTTTTACAGTAATTAATCATCATGTTGATTTAGGTTTTCTCTTTACAGTGAGTTTGACGCTATAATCGTTGATTTATTGGAGTCAATCGAGTTATTGGGGCTAATATCAGGATATAAGTTTATATTAAGCCCCTGGACTTGACTCCGAGGGTTTACTGGTATGCCGTCTACACATCTTTCTCTATCTCTTTGATTTGAAACTATTAGATTTGGAATTATTCGTTGTTTGATTGTTGCGTTTTTAAGTTCTGAATTAGTTTCTTAGCTCGATGTTTTTTGTATGATGTAGGGAGATTAGTCGATGTATTATGTTCGGAGTTAATTATAGAGATGATTGCTTATAAACCTTATGAACATTCGAGTCATTACAATAATCCAATTTGCCAATCGCCTTCGCGTTTAAACAGTATTCAAATCGCTAAACCCTTGTCCCCTTTACAAATAGGCCTCGATGCAAGGATATTCAGATGCTCACTGGATTTTACTGTTGGGCGATTAACTTTTTCCTTATATGATATTCCTACTATATTGCTAATTTTAACAAAAAAAGGTGGAGTAGGAAGATTGATGATTGAGAAAGGTTTTGTACTTTGGTAGGTAATGTGAAAGTAAATGAAGTAGTTGAATCTTCTTGATGTACTTCATCTGGCTCCACCTCATGAAGGTTGCAAAAAGAATTTCATTCAAGATGTCCCATGCAAATTACTATGGTCTTTGACAAAATTTTAAGATAATACCTAATTGTACCTACATGTCCATTGTCATCACTACAATTTTTTGATGCCCTTTTTGATCTTTTACCTTGAATTGTATCATATATTCTTTCTGTTGTTATTCGCCAACATGGTTTCATTTGTCATTTTACAATGCTATCCCAGACATTGATAGGCACTATTCTACCTGATAATTGAAATTTCAGATCTGACTTTTCTGGAATGGATGAAATAAAAGCTGTTGAAGAGGGTTCAACTACAAATGGTGAAAGTAGTACAAATTTACCAAATGATAAACCCGTTTCAGATGCCTCAATACCCTTAAAGAATACATCTGATGAACCTGAAACTGAACAAGAAACTTCCATTGATAATCTTTCTACCCCTACAGAATCAAAACCTGATGATTTCCCAACAGAAAAAGATAGTCCCATGGGCGAATCTCTTGTTCAAGAAGCAGCTTTATCACCAGTTCCATCAGAAACATCTGCAGAAAAATCAAATAATCCAGAATCACCTGTATTACTTGCAAAAGGAGAAAATGGGGATCCTTTAGTGGTGTCCAATGATAATATTGTTAAAGAAGTCAAGAACATGGGCCCAAAAGTAGGTGATATTGACACAGCTGCACCTTTTGAATCTGTTAAAGAAGCTGTTTCCAAGTTTGGTGGCATCGTTGACTGGAAAGCCCATAAAGTTCAGACTGTTGAGGTATTTATTATCTTCTTCAACATCTTTTTTTCATGTTTTAAAAAGATATTCTCTTTGGTCAATGAATTTTGACTTGTATACATCCTAAGTCTTTAAAATTGCCACTAGCCAATCAAATCACTTTGCCTTAAAAATGAGTTGAATGCAAGAAATGGCAATGTACTTCCATTGATTTGTTAATTGTTATTATAGCATTCTACTTTCACTCTTCCTAATAGAAAATTGTATTTTGAAAAATCTATTTAATTATAGCAAATTTTCACTCCTATAAATGGGTAGATTTTCCAAGTTTAGTCCCTTTAATAAGAAAAAAGTTTAAAGTGTAATGTTATAATAAAAAGCGATTAGTAGGATGCTATAATACAAAATTAAATGAAAATAGATTAATATTCTTTGCATTTAACCATTATGTTTTGAACATGTAATTGTTAACTAAACATTTTGATTATATCATACTTCAAATTAAATGTTGAATTTTTAAAAAAGTACATTGCTATTTCTTGCAGAAACGCAAGTATATCGAACAAGAACTCGAGAAAGCAAACGAAGAAATCCCATTATTCAAAAAAAAATCCGAATCAGCAGAAGAAGCTAAACTACAAACCTTAAAAGAGCTAAACACCACAAAAAGACTCATAGAAGAGCTAAAACTAAACCTAGAAAGAGCCCAAACTGAAGAACATCAAGCCAAACAAGATTCCGAATTAGTAAAACTAAGAGTCCAAGAAATGGAACAAGGAATCACCGATGATTCCAGTGTTGCCGCCAAGGCACAGCTCCAAGTCGCCCAAGCCCGCCACGCAGCGGCGGTTTCCGACCTCGAAACCGTAAAAAACGACCTCGATTCCCTTCGTAAAGACTACAATTTACTGGTGGCAGAAAAGGATGTCGCCGGAAAAAGAGCCCGGGCGGCGGCGGCTGCCGCCAAGGAAGTCGAGAAGAAGGTTGAGAATTTGACTATTGAACTCATGATGGCGAAAGAAAGTCTGGAATCGACTCATGCCGCCCATTTGGAAGCTGAAGAACACCGGATTGGAGCTGTGATGGCGAAAGAACAAGATTCGTTGAATTGGGAACGGGAATTGAAAAAGGCGGAAGATGAAATTAGAAAAGTCACCGAACAAATCGGTTCGAATAAAGATTTGAAATTGAAATTAGATGGATTGAAAACGGAATTGGCGGTTTATATGGAATCAAAATTGGAGAGTAATGGGAGTAATGATTCCGGGGTTCGAATGGAATTGGCGAAGAGGGATTTGGAAGCGGCGAAGGAGAAGATTTCGAAAGCGAAAGAAGAAATCGCGTTTTTGAAAACGGCGGCGGGGTCGCTTAAATCAGAGTTGGAGAGAGAACGGGCGGCACTTACCGCTGTGAAGCAGCGGGAAGGGATGGCGGCGGTGGTGGTTTCGTCTCTTGAATCGGAATTAAACCGAACGAAAGTGGAAATTGCTCGGGTTCAGGCGAAGGAGAAGGAGGCTCGGGAGAAGATGGTGGAGCTTCCGAAACAACTCCAAGTGGCGGCGGAAGAGGCGGATTTAGCGAAATCACTGGCGGCGGAAGCGCGGGAGGAGTTGAAGAAAGTGAAGGAAACGGTGGAGCAAGTGAAGGCCGGAGAACGGACAATGGCGAGCCGGTTAGTTGCCGCCCGTAAAGAGATCGAGGCGGCTAAAGCTTCAGAGAGGTTGGCGTTGGCAGCGATTGCGGCGCTAAAAGGGAGTGATTCCGGGGCCGGAATCACGGATTCCGGAGTTACGGTTTCGTTGGAGGAGTATTACGAGTTGAGTAAGAAAGCGCATGAAGCGGAGGAGGAGGCGAACGTGAGGGTCGCGGAAGCGATCTCCCGGATTGGAATCGCGAAAGAGTCGGAATCGGAAAGTTTGAGGAAACTTGAGGAAGTGAAGACGGAATTGGCGGAAAGAAAGGGAATTCTCGAGGCGGCATTGCGGAAAGCGGAAAAGGCAAAAGAAGGGAAGTTGGGGGCGGAACAGGAATTGAGAAAGTGGAGGTCGGAACATGAGGAAAGGCGGAAATCGGGAGCGGGAGCGAGAGGGAGTTTTGAAGAGGTGAAAAGTGTGGGACCCGGGAGCCCTTTGCCTCCCCGGAATGTGGCGGCTGGAATGAAGACGGTATTGCCGGAAAGCGGCGGGAATACGACGGAATCCTCACCTGAGGTAAGGGGTTTGATGAAGAAGAAGAAGAGGTCGTTTTTTCCAAGGATATTTATGTTGTTGAGAAGGAATAAGAGAGGTTAAGTGATAAGTGGGTGGTGTTGAAGGTGTTGATTGTATACATGTAAACATATAATGTTGGTTTTGAGTGATTGTAATTGTGTTTTTTTTATTATGATTGTGATTCATTTGTATGAAAGGGTGATGAGGGAGGGACATAATAAGATTGGGGTTTGAGTTGTGTATTGTTGAGTGTTCACTTCTATAAAAGTAGCTAACAAAACTATCAATTTAAATAATATATAACGTGAAACGTATCAAATGCTAATATGGCATTGCAATTTGCAATTTTAAAACAAAAAAGGTTTAACCATTGTTATTAAAAGATCATGTTATAGACAAAATTTCAAGGATCGTATTTAATTTTTTTCGTTTGTCTTTAAAATAGTCTCTATGAAACCTTTTATTATTATTATTATTTCTTTTATTATTATTATTATTTTTTTCATAGATAGTCCCTATAGAGCAAACTTTACACACAAATAATAGGTGGTAGCAATAGGTGTGTGCTCTTGAATGTATGTATATTTTCTTGAGTATATTTTGTTTTTTATATAAAGAATTAAAAAATTAAAAACAAAATGTATTTTCGTCATTCCACAAACACATAACAAAATTTATTAACAAAGTTAGTCATAAGGAATATTTGTGTGCAATGTTTGCTCCATATGAACTATCCATGCAAAAAGTACTTTATAAAAACTATTTTAAAGACAAACAAAAAAACTTAAGGACCATGTGTGAATTTTTTACTATATTACATGTTACTAAGTATATCTTAAAAAATAAACATAAGATCGAATTATTACCATTTTAATAGCGTTTTATGATATTAAGTAAAATGGTCTTCTGAATAATTAGGTTTTTAACGTGGTTGGATTGATATGGGAATAATTCAAAATATTTGAAATATAAAAAGACAATGAAAAAAATATTGTATGCTTTTCAAAATTTCAATTGAGGTTGGTTATTATAGTTTGACAATGAAATATAATTATTAATTGTTTTTGATATTTTTTTATTCGAATGTAAAATACGTTGCCACGTCCCCACGTTGGCATCTCTTGACAAAAATAAGAGTAAGCTTTTTGAGGAGCTTTGTGGTGTGAGCTTTTTGTTCATAAAAGGTAGATTTCAAAAAAATTAACGGATTAGAAGTCATGTTTGTTTGAAGTTGTGTGTTTTTTATTTTGTTTATTTATTTATTATTATATTATTTTCTTTTTGTCTTTCTCTTATTTATATATGAAGGACTCTGTTAAGCTTGTGATATACTCTGCATCACATTCTGTTTTTTATTAAATGACAAAAAAGATGGGTTAATTTTTTTCTTTTTCTTTTAGCGTTGAGTTTTATAAAAACACTACCAAAATGCTATAAAAATGAAGCAATTACACATGGAGGGCTAAAACTGAATTTTGTAACCAACTAACTCGTAAGTTTGTGTTCCTACTAACAAACCATCCAAACCAGAATTTAACAATAGCGTCAAAAATAGTTTCATTTTTAAGTTATTCGATCCAAATATGCATGAATTACAAAAGTTCCATAAAACCCACCAAGTTGTCATGATAAATGATTTCATTACTTCTTGTTCGGTCCTTTAAAAATGCATGGAATCCGCCCACATAAACATATCCAAAATTGAAATTGTGGGTGAAAGGGAGACATTACCAACGAGCAATCGCACTCCACAAGCTAGCCTACTTGCAAGTTGTTCAATTTAACTCACAAATTAACTAGCACTATAAATTTTTGATGTATGTATTTGGTCATAGTCTCATAGACTTGCTTCTATAGCTTCTTTGTGTTTAAGTAAGTCTTTTCAAGTATTTAAAATGTGTGAATTACTCAAAAGTGTTATATTTTATTCTAATGAGTTCTTAAAACATAACTTTGGAGCAAATCTTCATAATTATATTGTGGATGCATATAGAGATGCAAGATTAAATAGTTTGAAAAGAATTGAAAACTTGATAGAGATGATGGTTGAAACAAACAAGTACACAATATATGCAATGGCATATCCTTTACTACAACCAGCAACTTCACAACATAAGCAACCTTCATTGATGTTCAAAAGGGTTGAATGTCTTTGCCTCATGATGATCGAAAAATGTTGATTTTATGTTCTTTAAAGATTGGAAAAACCATTGAAGTTAGTGGCACTCTGGGATGGAACACGACTAGTGAGAAGATCATTGTCCTATTCTCATTAAGGAGATGTATGTGGATAATGGTCGGACCAGTTCATATATTTTAGGTCACTTCTCATTTATTGTATTCAGTTGGTGATTAAACTTTTTTTAGTGTTCTTATTACACCATTAACATGCATTTTAATTAGTAATTTTGTCATGTTGGATGTCATAATGGATGCAATGTTAATGTTAGTTAGATCTATATGAACAAAGTTTGTCATTATTTAAACCCAGAATGGCTGTCATGTAGGATTCTATACCTGTTGAAATCTACTTCAATAGTGTAATGAGAACTAAAAAAATAGTTTAGGGATGCACGAAATATAACTAAAAGGTAAGTGACCTAAATAGCAAATTGAATATTGTTGGTTGCCATTTTATCACATTAGCTTTATTTAGGGGGTGTTTAGCAAAAAAAAAACTTATGGCTTATTAGCTAATAAGTTAGAGGGAGTTAACTTATGAAAAAATGACTTATTAGCGGTTCGTCACCGCTATAAGTTGTTTTTATCCAAACATTTTTTAGCTTATAGCAGTGTGTAACAGATAATAAGGTAATAAGCTCATTTGCCAAACACCCACTTAATTTGTTGAAAACCGGATAAATTTAATTAGAAATTAGAATTTTATATGAAAAAGGATTATGTATATTGAGAAAACTATGCACATTCATTCTAGGTGTTGTTGGATTGTCAACAGAAACTCATTATTTGATTATTATATTTTCAAAAAATATAGATAATCAGTTTTTTAATGTTTAATAATTCGAAAACAATTTCAATTATTGACCTTTTGAGTGATCAAAAAAATTCACAATGAATTTTGAACCTGTTATATTAGATATAGAAATGTATATTTGGTCACTTTATGTTATAGTTGAGGGTTAATTCTGTAATTTACCATTCTAGTTAGTTGTGGTGGTTAGATGTCTGTATATAGATGGTAGTGATGTATTCGTTTTCAATCTAATGAAAAGATTCTTTCTCTCTCTCTCGTAATATGGTATCAGAGCAATTTGTTTTCATATCTTGATTGAATCTTTTTCTTCTCGATCTTATCGATCTCTGTTTTCAATCAAATTTTTTTTCTCTGTTCTTCGTTGATTGTGCTGTTTCATCATGTCAACCAATTCTGGTTCTAGTTCTGGATCTATTCTATCTCCTATGGATGATAGAACACATCCATATTATCTTCACCATTCGGATAGTCCATGATTTGTTCTTGTTTCACAATTGCTTACTGGTGAAAATTACAATTCGTGGAGTCAAGCAATGCAGATCACTTTATCTGTGAAGAACAAGACTGGATTTATTGACGGATCTCTTCCAAAGCCAAGCTCATCTGAAATTTCTAACTTCAATGCATGGATGTGTAAAAATAAATTGGTAATTTCTTGGATTTTAAACTCAGTTTCCAAAGAAATTTCAGCTAGTATCATGTTTACTGAAAGTGCTTTTGAAATCTGGAACGATTTGAAATATTGTTTCCAGCAGAGTAATGGACCGAGAATTTTTCAAATTCGAAGAGAATTATCGAATCTTAGTCAGAATCAAGATTCTATTGCTACTTACTTCACAAAACTCAAAACGATTACTGATGAGTTAGTCAATTTCAGACCTAATTGTACTTGTAACAAATGTGAATGTGGTGGTGTTGAGAAGATTAAGTAGTATTTTCACAATGAGTATATAATGAATTTCTTAATGGGACTGAATCCCACACCAGAGGTCAGATCTTGCTTATGGATCCTTTGCCTTCAATTAATCGGACTTTTTCTCTGATTGTTCAAGAAGAAAACAGAAGTCTATCCACAGTGATGTTCAACATTCAATGGCCTTTGCTGCTAAATCAACTCAAAATCGTGGCAAGCCTCAAAACAACTTCAAGAATATCACTCGTGACAGGCCTTTCTGCACTCATTGCAAGTTGCAAGGTCACACGATTGACAAATGTTATAAGCTTTACGGATATCCTCCTGGTTATAAGTCCAAAAGTAGGGTTGCTGCAGTTGCTTCTCATGACGATCCAAGTATTCAAATGTCGTCTATCAACAATGATTTGTCTAACATGTTCAAAGGATTTTCTCAAGAACAATGCCAGCAAATCATGTCAGCTCTTTCCAATCATATGATCTTTGTTAATCCAAACGAGGAAACAACTACTGGTAAATGCTATTTAATTTCTATTAATTCAGGGCAAAAATCACAGAAATGGATAATTGATTCATGTGCAACTCAACATGTTTGTCATGAATTTTCCATGTTTTCCAACAAAAGAAGAGTTTCTCATTATACTGTTACTTTGCCTAACAAGATTACTCTTCCTGTTAATCTCATTGGTGACATAATCATTGATCATCTTTTCATTTTAAAAGATGTTCTATATGTTCCATCTTTTGATCAGAACTTGATTTCTGTGAGTTCTCTTACTAAGAATCAAAGATTGATGATACAGTTTACTTGTCATCATGCTTTGATCCAGGATATGAAGTACATGAAGATGATTGGCAAAGTTGATCTATGTCAAGAGCTTTATGTGTTGGATGAGAAAAGTCACAAGAAAGATATCAAGATTTGTTCTGTTTCTTTAGATATTTGGCACACCAGATTAGGGCATCCATCTAATAAGTGTATATCACCAATAAAAGAGTTGTTATCTGTAAAAGTTGTTAATACATATCTCTCACATTGTTCCATTTGTCCTTTAGCCAAACAAAAACAATTGCCCTTTGTTTCTGTCAACAATATTGAAAATGACTGTTTTGCCCTTGTGCATTGTGATATATGGGGTCCATTTTCTACTCCATCTATTCAAGGATTCAAATATTTTTTTACAATTGTGGATGATCATAGCAAATATACTTGGATTTATATGTTGAAAAACAAGTCAGATGTTATTACCATTATTCCAGCATTTTATCAAATGGTTCTTACTCAATTTGATAAGAAAATTAAAGTTTTTCGATCTGA